GAAGGCGGCGCGAGTCCGAGCAGATGCAATGGCTTTGCGTTCGTTGCTGATGCTGGCGTGCGTGGTGTCAGCGGCCCTGGTGAACGTCGGCATGTCGTTTGCGCTGACAGTGTTTCCGATGACCTTCAGGTGGAGGCGCCCGATGTCGGTGTGCTCGATAAGCGAGTTCGCGAGCGGGACGTTCTGGTACCATATAGCCCGTGCGATGCTGCGGAGAGTCATGGCGCGGGTCTCCTTGGATACGGGCCCAGGCTGCGATGTCAGCTCGTCTGCTGGGAGCTTGGTCAGCGTGTCTCGGGCGTGGGCGGTTGCGACCTGCATCGCGGCCTTGAGCGTGCGCCATTTAGCAATCGGGGTCATGTTGGTCATGTCTATGTTGGCGAGAATCTTGGTGGTGTGATGCTTATAGTGGGGAGTGTCGAAGATGTACGCGGGGGTGCCTCGCTCCGTGGCGACCTTGGGCTTGCGGAGGCGGATGCGGACGTGCATAATCTTGTGGTCGCTTATCGGGCCGCGGGGGTTCTCGAGCGGGGAGTCGTCGGCTATGTAGATGGCCCCCATGAGGGGCATGAGATGGCTAGGGAGGTTGATGAAGCATCGGTCGATGGTGGATTCGCTCATGTTCCCTTCAGCTCTGTGGGTAGTTGAGGATGATGTGATCTCAATCATGTCGCGGCAGAGTGATCGCCATAATACAGGTTGGCATTGGTACCTCTGCGCGGCGGTGGTGTCAGAGTCGACGGGGGCGTTTAGCGACTTCGGTGGGGATTCAGCAACGTTGACATCGCCCACGACCATGAAGAGGCGATGTTGTGGTTGTTCGTCGGCATGCTGTCGGGGCGCTTGCCGCTGATCTCGAAGATAGGGTCAATCTGCTGCGGTAAAGCCGTAGCTGTGGATGTTGAGGACGGTGGCTTCGAACTGGAGGCTGGCATCCGTGACGCGAAGCCAGGCGGCACGGCCATGGGTGACAACCTCAAACCTGATGCGAGGACGTAGCGCAGGGGGGAGTGTCTGTTCGCCTTTGTCGTGCGGGACGAGGAAGCCCACGCCACCTGCGTTGGTGACGGGGAAGTTGTCGGCCATCACGGGGGAGTGGAACGGCTTGCACGGGTGCTGGGTCGAGCTGGCCAGGGGGAAAGGTCATCGATCGTGCCGTGCGTTTCCTGGAAGGCGATTAGTGCTCTTTGACGAAGATATGGCAAGATCATGCGGCGTTTGTCTTCACGACGTTGGTCTGATTTGTCCGAGTAGAGCTTGCGTGTTCCAGAATGCAACGCGGGGGCCCTCCTGCGAGGGTTCGAGGAGCCATGGGCCCCAGCGATGGCTACAGCCACTGCGCGGATGTGAGGGCGTCTGCGAAGTTGGAGGCGAACTCAGCGTTGATCTGCCGCTGCTTGGCTTCGTCGAAGCCGCAAGTGGTGGCGGCGCTGGACCACTGAACGCGGGTAGGAGCGTCAGCGCAGGCTCCGACGAGCAAGCGGGCCAAAGCTTCACCACGATAGCTAACGTAGCCAAGAGTCCGATGAGTGCGAATGTCAATGTCGGGCACGGCATTCTGCATGATCTTTGATAGTCGCTTGATCTGCACTTCTGTTCGAACGGTTTTCGGACTTTTGTCGGCGGAGACATCGAGAGGAGCAAGCAGACCATTGCTCCGAAGTACACTGAAAGTGCGCCATTCCTTTCCATTGCGGAGAGCACCGTGGAGCCGTTGAGCTCGAGGTTCTGCCACGACGGTTCCTCCGCTGACCTGGAACGAGTGGCGCTTGGCGGGGCCGACGGTGTTGAAGATGATGTGGCTCTTGTCGATGCCAGCGGCGGTGAACCAGTCGGCAGGGCTCTTCTCGAGCTCGGACTGCGGGCTGCTGCACCAGAAAGTCGTTGGGTCAGGATCGCGGTCCCACGTGCCGAGGCCGTCCAGGTTGAGGGCTGGCGCTCGTGCTTCTGCAGCTGTGACGATGGCGTCGAGTCTGGCGACGGCTGCTTTGAGGTCGATGTTCTCTTTCTCCAGGGAGGATGCGCGCTGCTTGACCTCGGCGATGTTGCGTTCAGTGGCCTCGTGGCGCTGGCTGAGGTCGGAAGTGATCTTCGTGAGGCTGTCGAGGAAGTCTTGACTAGCGTTGGCTGTGACGGCACGGGCGGTAGCTTCGAACTTGGCGCTGGCGTCGGCGATCTGGGCGGCCATGGTCTCTTCCAGCTGCTTGCGGACATGTGCAGGCAGGTCATGCACGGCGAGTTTGTTCCCGAGTAGTGCTGCTCCTTCGTGCCAAGGGTCTTGTTGGCGCTTGCCGTCCACATCTCCGAGTGCAGCGTCGGCAGTGGCAGGGACTGGTACACCTTTGCCCCCCATGCTATCGTCGTCCGAGAAACGAGGCCCGCGCCAGCCTCTGTCGATCGCGCGCGGAGGCAACAGCTAGAGACAACTGTGCCGAATATGAAGCTCGACCACCAGGGGCGGTGGAAGGCGGGGTTATGAAAGCGGGTCCTGAGCTGCCCCTGGACCAAGGGTCTCCGTGCTCTGCCACGGGGCGGAAACATCTTGAGCCAAAATGGCTACGGAGGGAGGGGGAGAAGGAGGAGGAGGAGGAAGAGGGGTGGGGGAGGAGGGAGGAGGAGGGAGGAGGAGGAGGAGGAGGAGAAGGAGGAGGAGGAGAAGGAGGATGAGGAGGAGGAGGAGGGAAAAGGAGGAGGAGGAGGAGGAGGAGGAGGGGGAGGAGGAGGGAGGAGGAGGAGGAGGAGGAGGAGAGGAGTCGCCCGCTGAGCGATTCGTGGCGCATGCACCCGACCGCGCGGCAACGCCCAGGTGTGGCGCCCGTCCCAGCGGCCTCCTCCTCCTCCTCCTCCTCCTCGTCCTCGCCCTCCTCGGGTGCGCACCTCCCCTCGCATGCGCGCATTCACCTTGCTGGTCCCCTGCGCGCGCCCCGCCCGTCTCAGAGGGCAACATGCAGCCGCGCTAGGAACGATAGGCCGCTCGGTAAGACCTTCAGGTGCACAACTTAGAGATCCAACACACTGTAGATACCGCGAGATGCTCTCGACCGGCCATCTCAGAAACTTCAGGGCGTGCCTGAGGAGGGCAGCCTTTCTGTGTTCAGCAAAGCATGCACAATACACCAGTGGGAAACGATTGCAGTCAACCCGTATGATAAGGATGCGCAGTAAGGATGCAAGGGTCTTGGAGGGCCATGTCGACACGTTGCGAGCAGGGCGCGGCCAGCGAAAGCGGCCAATGATGGGCCAAAGGGGAAGGACGTAAGGGCAACCTTGGAAAATTGCTCATCCTAGCTATGCGGGTTGACTCTATCGACTCCCCCCCGTTGCCCACAGCACTCAAAAATAATCGATTCATTCCCGAGGGTTGGGGCCCCCGAGCGATATCGTTGACACCACGACACACGAATGTGCGAAACAATTCCGCGGGGAGCGGCGGCAATAAGAGGAGCAAGGCAGCCCGCGAGAGGCCCACGAGAGGCCTCAAGACGGCGTCTTCGGAGCCTTGCGCCCCCGCCGACAGTCCACGTCCCTGACACCGCCCAGACCTTGGCGGCGTGCAGAGGGGGATGGGGGGAGGGGGAAGGCTTCTTAGAAGGGGGCTGCTTCTCAGAAGGCGCTGGGTGGCCGAGAAAGAGGGGGGAAGGCGGGGGGGATGCTTGCTTCCCGCAGTTGCCGCCTACGGTCTTTGAGGAGCCCCACCGAAGGCGCAGAAGGGGAGTGCACCGCCCTCATGCTCTTCAGCGCAGATGCCGTGCACATCTTGGGGGGCGCAGCCTTGGTGCGCGAGTGGGAGGCGCGTCTTGGGGGAACCGCTGTACGGGAGATTCGTGGTGAGGACGGGGGAGAGGAGTCATGGGGACGAGGGCGAGTGCTCAGAGGGCAGGACGGAGGGAGAAAGGACGGGGGAGAAGGAGGAGTTTTAAACCCGCGTGCTCCCGCCCGTGAGTGGGCGCCCCTGGTCTCGGCACCCCGCGCAGGCAGAACGGCCCGAGGCGGGGTGGGCCAGCGGCCTCATCTCACGGCGTCGTACTGCCGCCACTCTTTGACTCATGGAGTCGCCCCGTGAGCAGCGGCAGTCTGAAGATTTGCTGCCGCCGCCCTCTCAGAGCTTGAGGAGCAGCCTGATGGACGGCCGCAGCCGCTCCTCCGCTCTGCGCTCTTCCAGGGACCGCCCTGGCTGCTGGTCCCTGGACTCATGGGCCTTCACGACCGCCTTGCCTGGCGCAGAGCTGTGGCCTAACCCCTCGCCACGCTGGGGCGCATTGCGGCCTAACCCCTCGCCGCGCAGGGGTCCTCTGTGGCCTAACCCCTCGCCGCGCTGGGGCCTGCTGCCGTCTGGCCCCTCGCCGCGCAGGGGTGCTCCGTGGTGGCCTAACACCTCGCCACGCAGGGGTCTGTTGCGGTCTGACCCCTCACCGTGCTGGGGTCCGTCGTGGCCTGACCCCTCGCCACACTGGGGGTCGGCGCGGTCTAACCCCTCACCGCGCTGGGGAAACTCGTGGCCTAACCCCTCGCCACGCTGGGGGCTGCTGCGGTCTAACCCCTCACCGCGCTGGGGTGCTCCGTGGCCTAACCCCTCGCCACGCAGGGGCCTATTGCGGTCTAGCCCCTCACCGCGCTGGGGTCCCATGTGGCCTAACCCCTCGCCACGCAGGGGCCTGCTGCGGTCTGACCCCTCACCACTATGGGGTCCGCCGTGGCCTAACCCCTCGCCACGCTGGGGATCGTTGCGGTCTAACCCCTCACCGCGCTGGGGTACTCCGTGGCCTAACCCCTCGCCACGCTGGGGCCTGCTGCGGTCTAACCCCTCACCGCGCGGGGGTACGCCGCGTCTCGCACTGTCCCCGTCCTCGGTGCTGCTGCCCCCTGGCTCGGGCGAGGTCCCCCGACTTTGCCACTCGCAGTGTTCGCGGTTCACGTGGTATCCGCGGGCCGAGCCCTCCCCCTCGCGTTCAGTATGTCGGTTTCCCAGGGTGTGGGTCCGCTCTGTTAGTTGCGAGGTCCTGTCTACCACACTGTCGGTCAAAAGGTCCGCGTGATGCTCACTGGGCACGTCATAGGCTTCCGCCTCAAGCCTCTGCTTGCCTTTGGTCCTGCGGTCTACCCCCTCACCGCGCGGGGGATTGCCGTGGCCTAACCCCTCGCCACGCAGGGGTACCTTGCGGTCTAACCCCTCACCGCGCTGGGGAGGGTCGCCGACAATCTTCTCCAAGTCCCGCTGCAGGTCTGCGTCGTCGTAGTCTGCCGCCTTCTCAGGCTGCGCTGTTTTGTGGCCTAACCCCTCGCCACGCGGGGGAGCGCAGAGTCTCGCACTGTCCCCATCCTCGGTGCTGCTGCCCACTGGCTCAGGCGAGGTCCCCCGACTATGCCACTCGCTGTGTTCGCGGTTCACGTGGTATCCGCGGACCAAGCCCTCCCCCTCGCGTTCAGTCTGTCGGTTTCCCAGGGTATGGGTCCGCTCTGTTAGTTGCGAGGTCCTGTCTACCACACTGTTGGTCAAGACGTCCGCGTCATGCTCACTGGGCTCGTCAGGGACCTCCGCCTCGATCCTCTGCTTGCCTTTGGTTCTGCGGTCTAACCCCTCACCGCGCTGGGGTCCTCCGTGGCCTATCCCCTCGCCACGCTGGGGTCCTCTGCGGTCTGCCAGGTGGTGCCCTATGCTGTGCTGTACATCTGGGAACTGCTGGTGGTTGTCATCGCTGTTTTGCTTTTCTACGGGCTGCTGGGGGCAATCCTCGCTGTTCTCCTCTTCAGGGACGTGGTCGAGGTCTGCCATGTCCTTGGTGCTGCGTCCTGCTGGTGGGGGACGGGCACCCCTCTGCATCCCGTCTGGCGCAGGGCTGTGGCCTAACCCCTCGCCACGCTGGGGTCCTCTGCGGCCTAACCCCTCGCCGCGCAGGGGTCCATGGTGGTCTGTCCCCTCTCCGCACAGGGGCCTCCTCGGCTGTCTGGCTGGAACCCTGCTTGGCACTCGCCCTGCTGCTTGCGGTCGCGGGCTGCGGCTCCTCACCTCTGGCTCAGTCACGCCCAGGATCTGCTCAGCCGTTGCTCTGCGCCGCTCTGCCTCCTTCGGGTCCTGCTGCTGGATCTGTCTGCGCGCCTCTCCGCTGTTGAGCCATGCCAGGCGGCAGATCTCCTCCGCCGCTCGGCGCTGGCTGCGCTGGCGGCTCGTCCCTGACACGTAGCTGAAAAGCCTCTGGTAGACGCCAGTCTGCAGCGCCCTCAGCACATGGGGCACGCACGCGGCCTGCCACGATGGCCAGCCCTGCTCGCCCTCTTTCTGGCTCCAACAGCCTGCCAGCGACTGCATGAGCTGCTCGAGCCTGTTCCTCTCGAGCCACGCCACCTCCTGCTCGGGGTCCTGGTCAGCTTCCCCTTTGTTGTGTCGAAGCCTTGGGTGGAGCAGGCCGGCCTCGTCGGCTTCGCTCACGAACTTCATCAGGTCGGGCCCCACTGGCTTGGTCAGCGTTACTGCCACCTGCACTGCCGTCTGCATCAGGCTGTTGGCGTCGTGCCTCTGATCAGGTCCCGCCATGATCTCCATCTCCTGGCTGCTCGGCTCACCCTCCAGCTCTGGGGCTTCACTGTCTGGGGTCGAGTCATCATCGTCCAGGTTCTCTGGTGACCACTCTCGGCTGGCCTCCGCTGTTCTCGGCAGCGGCCTGCGCTCGCTGCTGGGGATGCTGTGCGCTAGGATGTTGTTCCTTCTGTTCTGGAAGGCGTCCATGTGCACTCTTGCTGCCTGCTGCCTTGTACAATACGGGAGGGTAAGCATCCTGGTCATGAGCCTCCGTCGCGTGCGGTGCGTGTTGCGCCAGACTTCTTCGCAGAAGTCCTTGATCTGCTGGAGCTCCTGCACGGTGACGGCCCTGGTCTGCTCTTGCGTGTCCGTTCTGCCACCCACATTGGTGATGGCCAGGAGGTACGGTACGCAGTGCTCCATCCAGTCGTCCATATCGTCCCAGACCTCTTGGTCGACCATGTTCATCCACTGCTCCGCGTAGCCCTCCATGTGGTCGACGAGCCTCCAGCTGGCGTGGACGACAGAGTGCGGATGGCTGGGTGGCTGCTGTGGAGCTGGCTGCGGGTCCCCTGCCTCTGAGCTGTCCCCGTCCGGATCGATCGCCTCGTGGTTACTCAGGCCGAGCTTGAAGCCTCCAGGCATGGTGATCTCGTCGAGACCCTCATCAGCTGGGTCTGCTGCTGGCTTAGCTCTTCTTGGCAGCTTGCCCCTCCGCATGTCCTCCAAGACCCGCCGCCCTGCTGCTGTTGGGGGCTGACATGGCCTTGCCAGCTTCCTCGCCACTCCTGCCACGATCCTGCTCTTGTGGTCCCCAAGGTAGCTGGTGCCGCCACATTTCTCGCACCAGAGCCAGCCATGGGTGAACTGCGTCTTGTGGGAGACGTGCACCACCTGCGTGCCGATCTGCACCGCCTTGAAGTCGAGCCTGACGTTGCCGTGCTGGTCCTGGTGGCCGCCGTACTTCCCGAGGCATTTGCCCGTCTCTGCCAACCAGTCTCTGATGCTTTGTCCTTTGGCTGGGCCACTGCGACACGTTGCACACCACCATCGCGGATGTAGCTTTCGCAGGTCGTGTCCCTGCTGGGCTGCCCTGTCCCTCGCCGTCTGCGGCTTTCGCCGCTTGGCCTTGGGACGCTGAGGGGCCTTGTCGGGGTCCTCCACCGTCACCGCCATGTTGATGGCCAGCAGCCTGTTCTGCACCGCCATGGTAATATGGTCCCTGATCTGCTGCTGCGCGATGATGGCTGGATCCAGTGCTCCGTGCTCCGCTCCCCAGCCTGCGTACTTGTCTGCCATCTCGTTTCCTATGACCCACCAGGTGGGACCATTCCACCTCTCCAGCTCGGCTGGGTGCTCAATCAGGTGGCTCGGGATGTGGTGGCCCATGATGGTGTCCGTGCTGTTCTGCAGCTGCTGCTTCGTCTGGAGCCAGAGGTCGTAGTTCGTGCTCCTGTAGTCCAGATCCGCAGGGTCCTGGATCTGCTTGAGTGCGTCCAGGGCGTATTTGCAATCGCTGACTATGTTGAGCCCCCTGGCTGTCGCCGCCGTGGTGTACCCGATGGCTTTGCTCATGGCGGTGAGCTCTGCCCGTGGCACCGTGTGCGGTGCCCTGATTGTGCCGTACCAGGCAGCCACTTCCTGCGGACGTCCTTGTTCGTCGAACCTGAAAGCCACCACTGCCCAGCCGCAGCGTCTGAAGCGGGGGTCCTTGGCCGTTTCCCCTGCACCACCTGAGCCGTCCGCGAAGACATAGTCTGCTCGAACCGTGTGCCCTGACTGGGCTGCAGCCTGAGCCTCTTCGCTGGTGCAGAAGATCTGCGCCGCCTTCGCCGCGTCCTCGTCTGGGTCGACCTTGGCTGCCCAGGCCGCTGGCGGGATGCCTCGGAGCCAGAAATGCAGGTCCTGCCGCTGGTCCAGCGCGTCCTTCGCCTTCTTCGCCAGGTCGGTGTCATTGCTGTGCCCTATCTCTGCGTTGGCAGGGCATGCGTAGTAGCGGTGTTCCTCTGTCTCTATCGCCTCGCCGCATCTCGCGCAGGTGTCATCGCCTTCTTGGTTGAGGTTGGCCGCCCTGCGACGCTCCCTGGCCCAGATGCCCGCCACCGCTATGGTCTCCAGCATGGCTGCCTCTGCATGCTGTCCTTTACGCCTCCTCCTCCTCAGGTGGCGCTGCAGCTGATAGAGGTCGCCTCCAGCCTGAAGTCCTTCTCCACTGCGATGACCAGCTGCCTGCTGCCAGAGCTGCTGCTGCGCGCTCTGCTGGACTTCATGCAGGAGCGCGCCGAAGTGAGGAATGTCATCTGGCTTGTAGGCCCACTCGTCACCTGCTGGGCTGATCCAGCTGTCCAGGCGTCGCGGTATCCAGCCTAACCCAAGCAACTGCGCGATGACCCCTGCCATCGGCCCCTTCACCTGCTGCCACCTGCGGTTGGGTTCCAGGGCGCCCAGCTTGGCGTAGAGCAGGAGCCAGCCTCTCTGGTACCTCTTGAGGTGGTCGACTACGGTGAGCCAGAACTGCTTGATCTGGTCGCCGATGGCCCGGGTTACTGCCTCTTGCATACCCCTCTGGATCAGGAGGATGGTGGACGTGCAGCGTTCAGCCTTGTGTCCGCCTGTGAGGAGCGCTGCCTCCGTGGCCCTGACCAACTTCGCCTCCGCGGGCGTGATGCCGTGCGCTGGTAAGCCCCAAGCCTGCTGGCAGTAGGCACCTGCTGAATAGACCTTTGCCGCGCCTCTGGCGTCCGTCTTCGCTAGGTCCCTGAGCTTGGCCACCCTCTGCTTGGCCTTGGCCTGGCGCGCGGCATGGGTGGGTCGCCGCAGCTGCTTGCCAAGGCTGGTGTCCACGCCGAGGTCGCGCACTACACCTGGTTGCTTGTTGGGGGTGCCCAGGCTGTCCAGGATGCTGGCGACTTCTGCCTGGAGGTCCTTGTCCGAGGCCACCGCCGCCGTCTTGACAGAGATGGGAATCGCGAGCTGCTTGAATCCATCGTGCACCAGCGCTGCCACGTGCTTGATCTGGTCAATGACCTGCCGCCGCGCACCCTCTACCTGCAGGGCCAAGTCGTCCAGGTACTGCTGCGTGACGACGAAGATGTGGCGCCTGTGCGCTGCATCCAGGATGCCATACAAAAGCGGTATGGTGAGGTCTACCGCTTGGCCACAGCCAGCTACCATGCTGTTGGCAGGCTCGAAGATGTCCGAGAAGAGGCTGTGGGCCATGGTGGCCCTGGGCGCAAGGTACATCTGCACGGCCATTGCCAGCGGGAGCAACGGGCACTGGAGGGCGCTGGCCTTCTCGATCAGCTGGTCGAGGCCTATGTTGTCGTAGAAGTTTGCCGCGTCGTAGAACACTCCTGCTGCATGAAAGCCCATCTCCGTGGCGGCTTCTGCCCTCATCAGTCTGTGCATTGCCACTCGTAGCGCTGAGGAGCCAGCTACTGCCGTATCCCAGAAGCCCGCCGCTGCCTTGCTCCAGGTGGCTACTATGGGCCTCCTGGCTGCGCTCCAGATGCGGTACGGCATGGGCATGAGGCCGATGGGGCGCTCTCCGCCGATTCCTGGCTTCTTACCCAGCAGCAGCTCCAGCACCAAGTAGAATTGCCACGGCCACGCTGCCCGTTGCTCACAGCTGGTCAGGCACTGCACGAAGTCTTCCAGCCCCTGGGCGCCCATGGCCTTGAGCTCTGGAGCCCTCCACCAGTCCGCTCCTTGGCCAGCATTGCGCTTCAGGTGCTGGATGATGGAGCCTATGATGTCCTTGCTGATGGGCTCGAGGGCATTCTCTTGGGCCAAGGCAGCCTGCCTCAGCTTGGCCAGCGCCTCTTGGATCCTCTCGGCCTTCTGTGCATCTCGTGTCCACCTGCGTTGCCATGCTTCTTTGCGCAAGTCCACCAGCTGCTGCGGGTGGTTGATGACCTGGCCCTCGTGCTCTAGGATGTCCTCCAGATGGCTGCGCTCCGCTGCCTTGGTGTAGGCGTGGGCCATATTTGCACTGCCTGTCGTGGCGTCGTGCACCCAGTGGATGTACGCCTTCTTCACCGCCTTTGTGAGTAGCTTGGCCATGCTCTTTACCTCCTCTGCTACCCTGCTGATTGTCCCTGGGTCCACGAGGGCGCCCTTTGCTATCGCGTGCAGGTCTGCGAGGAGGGCCTGCTGCTGGTCCTTGGCTGCGCCTTCTTCGTTCAGCCTGCCTGGGTCAGGCTGGTTGAGCTGCTGCGCAAGCTGCCGTCTTGTGTTGATCTGCTGCTGCGTCTGGTGGCCACTGTGGGTGCGGACCTGCAGCTCTCGGCGGCTACTCTGGCCACTGCCTGTACCTGGAGCATCATGTAGTTGTCTTCGCGCTGCTCCTTCTGGTGCTCGTTCGCCTATTACTTCTCGCATAAACCTCCGCAGGTTTGCGAGATCCCTCCAATGCATCATTTCCAATTCGTGCCTCCTCGTCGGCTCCTCTCGCGTTAGTCCTTGGAGAAAGCCTCGGCGTCGTGGTTCTGCATGTCTCCATGCTCGCTCGCAGAGGTCCCTGATGATGTGGCTGAGGCCGGCCTGCTGGCACCTACGCCTGAACAGTCTCACCATGCCATTGTTGCCTCCGCCCCCCAAGATGGTCTCCAGGAACGGCACGCAGATCTGCATCCAGTTGCTGTTGTCCGTGGGGAGCTGCACCAAGTTATCCATCCAGATGGCCGCCCAGTACTCCAGGTCGTCTCTCATGGCCACGTAGTCTTCCCGCTCCCGCTGGTGTTGGTCATCATTCCAGGGGTCTGGTGGGGGCAGGCCCATATCTCGTTGCTCCTCTGCCTCTGGGCTTGGCTGCGCTTGGTTCTGACTCCCCCGGTGATCGGTACCCTCTGCCTCCAGAGTGCCAGCTGGCAGAGGAGGTGAGCAGTGCGTGCCACCTGGGGCAGTTTCACCAAATCCAGCTGCATGACGACGAGCGGTCTGGCCGTAGCCGATGCTGTCCTGCTGCCCCTCGATGCGCTGGTGGTACCCATCGCAGTCCTCCTGGTCTGCGGTCTCCTGGCGGTGCTGCAGGCAGTCCTCCTCCTCCTCGAAGGGGTCGTGGTCTTGGACGTCCATGGTGCTGCGTCCTGCTGGCGGGTGAGAAGCAGGTCCAGCTGCACGACGGCGAAAGGTCTGGCTGCGCTCGAGGCTGGCCTGCTGCCCCTCGATGTGCTGGTGGTACCCATCGCTGTTTTCCTGGTCTGCGATCTCCTGGCGGTACTCCAAGTAGTCCTCCTCATCCTCGAAGGGGTCGTGATCTTGGATGTCCATGGTGTTGCGTCCTGCTGGTGGGGGAAGGGCACCCCTCTGCATCCCTTCTGGGCAGCTGTCTGCGCTGCTGTGGGTTGGTCCCACGTGGAGGTCTGGGACGCGTCCCGTGGCGGCGCACTCGGGGGACGGGAACCCCTGACCCATCTCAGAGCAGGGGCCGGCTGCCTTCCCATGGTCCGCTGCGCTCGCCTGGACCTCTGCCTGAGGAGGGGGGGCCTCCTCACGCACTGGCTGATTCGCGGTGTCCTTGGTGCTACTGCCGCCGCCTCCTGCTGCGCCTCCACTGCCTGCAATCCGCTGCTGCAGCTCGGGGGGGCCCTCGCCCCGCTCGGTGGGGGCGCGATCCACCGAGCTTCCCCCCGGGCTCTTCGATGGGCTCATGGCTGGTGCGGGGACCCCGTCTTCGTGGCCTACCTGGCTGCCAGACATGACGGGGCCAAGCTCCGACTCCAACGGGCCATGTCCTCCTCCCGAATCCTCATCGGGAAGTGCATGGGTCTTGCCCTGTCGACTTGCCGCTGCCTCCTGCGCTCGGGCATCATGGTGCGAGAGCTGCCGCACCAAGGAGGAGATCTCCGCCCACCACGCATGGATCTTCCTTTCGACCCCTGCCCATGGCGTAGAGGTGGCGGCGCCCTTGATGCTCACGCTCTTGTAGCTCGGGGGCCTGCTGTGCCCGAGATGTCGTCCTCGCTCTTCCTCTGGGATGCCGATGCTCTCGCACAGGCTGAGCTCGAGGGTGCTTGCGAAGTGGTCGCACTGTTGCCCCAGGTCCAGCATGTCCCGCTCCATCATCTTGCCGACGACTGTGTGCTGCAAGTACTGGGGCAACTCGTCGTAGGCACGCAAGCTGACCCGCTCGGAGGTGGCCTGCCACAGCTCGTCAGGGATGACGTGCTGAACCTCCTTGTCGTAGTACAGCTGCGGCACTGGCTCCATGTCGTTCTCTTCCAGGTCGCATCCTGCCCCTGCCAACGCTTGCTGACGTCGACGCATGGCCTCCTGGCCTCCTCGCGCCGCTCGTCTGCAAGCGGCTCTGGACTTCGGCATTTTCTCAACTGCGACTGGTGGCTTTATGGCTGCTGGCCTGCGAAGTACCCTGCCCTTGAGCTTGAGAGGCCGCCCTTTCAACTTCAAGCGGATGCCGATGTGCGGCTTCCACGGCACGGTCCTGAGCAGCTCTAGCTGGTCAAAATACGGCGCCAGGCCCTGCGAGATCAGCGCGAAATCGATGCACCTGGCTTCGCCTCCTGCTGGGAAACATGCGGGGGCGCCATCCTCAGCCGCAGCTACTTGAGCATTCAGCACCCTGGGCCAGATGCTGTTGTTGAGCTCCGACGGCGTCATGTTGAAGTCCCCAAGCGCTGCCCATGGCCCTCCCCAGACGGCCATCTTCTCCCGCAGGTCGCAGAGGATGTCGACGTTCCTCTCTCCAAAGCCCGCCCCGCACTCGAGGTAGACGAAGGCCACTGCGAAGCGGACCTTGTGCAGGTTGGAGATCACCACCGTGACGTCGCTGCCGCCCTCGTGCAGGCAGTGCTCGTCGAAACCCGCGATCCTGTCCTGGATGTCCAAGGATCCTCGCGCGATGGCACACGTTCCTCCTCGAGTGCCTTCTCCTTCTCCTTCTCCTGGCCGTGCCTTGGTCCAGTAGCTGTGCATGCCATTCCTCCTGAGCGCCGCTCTTGCCTTGCTTATCTGCGCAGGCTGGCGGAGGTGGTGCTCCGCGATGCCGATGATGCCCCTGTCCTTGGCACCGTTGATCTCCATGAGGTAGCCCTGTGCCTGGGGGCCCAGGTCGTGACATTGAAGAAGTCGATGTGGTAAGGGCGGCGAGCCTTCTTCGCGCTCGCCTTGGGGCGGCTACCCTGCTGAGTGGCCACCTTGCCCTTCTGCGTCGACGACTGTCTCGGCGCGCCTGGCCTGCGAGACCTTCTCTCGCGCCTCCTGGATGTGGGCCTCCACTCTAGCTCGGCGTTCCTCAGTTTTGTCATGTTCTGCTGCACCTGCTTCTGGTTGGGCAGCTGCTGCGGCGCCGTTAGGCGCAGCCGCGGCAGCTGACCCTGCTGCCTCAGCGCCTGTGGTGGCACCTCGCTGAGGGGCTGGGCTGGCGGCGCAGACACGCTTGCCTGGTGGGGCTTCTGCTGCTTCTGGGTCTTGCTCTCCGCTCTTTGACAGGCGCTTGGTGCGGGCCTGCTCGAGCTGGCGCGGCTGCTCCTGGTGCCTGGCCGTCTCTTCCTCCAGAAGTCGCAGGTGCTTCGCCGTCTCCTCCTCGTGTTCCTTGACCGTCTGGGCCATGCGCTCGCCCTTGGCCTTTGCTGCTCGCCAGACCTCCTTGTCGGGCTCGGACCACTTGTGGAAGTCGTCAGGCTCATGCTCGAACTGCTCCAGGAGGGCTGCCAGAGTTGGCTTCTCGGCTGCAGGTTCAGCTGGTGCCTCTTGCTTGCCGACTGTGGCCTTGAGCTTGTCGAACTCATCTTCAGCTGCAATGGAGGCTTCCATAGCTTCACGAAGCTTGCGTTCACTCTCAGCCAAGTACTGCTGGGCACTCTCCACTTGCTCCCCTGCCGATCGTACCTTCTTCTGGAGTTTGTCCAAGCGTCGAGCTGCTGCCTCCACTGCCTTGAATCCAACGACTGGTTGTTCTGCTGGTGGCTTGGCTGCGGCGAGCTCTGGCCAGAGGGCCTCGTAGTGCTGCCTGAGCGGGTCGTCCTTGCTGAGCTTGCTGTATGCTGCTGCGGCGGCGGCCTTGAGATCGACGGTCTTGTCGTGAGGTGGTGGCTGGCGTTGGCCTCCTTGCCCTTTCCCGCCTGCACCACCTCCTGGCTGCCACCCATCTGCCCAGCTGATCCTGGGCGAGGTTCCTCCTTGGGGCTGTGCTGACAGCCACCCACCATCCTCGTCACGGAAGACATGTCCGTCGGGGACGAGGCAGGCGAGATTCTTGCCGCAGATGCAGAGGTCGCCCCTGCTGGTGATATTCTTGCAGTAGCGCCATCTGCTGCACCCGTCACACACCACGTAGCTGCTGCGAGGAGGGCGACTGCCACTGCTGCTCCTCTTCCACGGGGGCACCCTCTGGCGATTCGGAGTCCCCGACCAGGCGCTGCCCGCCCCGCGTCCGCCGCCGCCACTCCCCATGGCTGCAGCAGTGCCGCGCGCGCGCCCGACGCCCGTCTGGGAACTGTTCTCGGTCCAGAGGTCTCCCTTCGGCCTGGAGGCTGGACAGCCCCCCAGGTCGCCATCTTGAGCCAAAATGGCTACGGGGGGGAGAAGGAGGAGGAAGAGGAGGAGGAGGACGAGGAGGAGGAGGAGGAGTGAGGAGAGAGGAGACAGACAGGCGGCCCTTTTCTGGCAGCTCGGATCACTGATCTTTTGCCTGCACGACCAGAATGCACCTTGTGCCGAGGCTGCGAGGACATTTCGCCTCTTATCCGAACCATGCTTCCCTCGGCAGGTACCTACGCTCTTACCCAGACGCTCGTGTGCAGTCGCGCGCGTGCGTGCCCGTGCGCCAGCGCTTGCAGCACCAATGGCTTCACTGCGTAGTGCAACGCCGCCCCGATTCGTACACCCAGCCCGCTGGCACGCAGCTCTGAGCGTGCTTGGCCGCTGCTGGCTCGATACCGGAGCGGCCGACAGGAGCACTGCCAGGGCCGACAATATCACCAATGGCCTCACTGCACAGTGCAACGCTGCCCCGAGTCGTGCACGCAGCCCGCCGGCACGCAGCTCTGGGCGTGCCCGACCATTGCCAGCTCGATGCTGGAGCGGCCGATACCGGAGGAGGGCCAGTCGAGACAACAGAGTCTTTTTGGGGCTCTCTGGAGGCCTCTCGTCGCCACGGCAGGATCCGCTGCGGAAAAACGGCCGGGATGGACCTCGGCAGGGGTCGTCTGGCCGATTTTGAGTGAAACGACTGTCGGAACTTTTGCTTGGCGTGTCGCCGCGGCGGCCCTGGCGACACGCTATGCCTTGCGAGCGGATAGCGTGTCGCTCCGCTCCGCTCCGCGGGAGGCTCGGCAAGTCAGAGGCGTCGGCGCTTGGGGACGGGGACGTGGATGGCATGTCGCGCCGAAGCGCGGTGGGCCAGAACTGGTGGCGCGACACGTCAAGTGTCCAAAAGTTCCCGACCATACGCAAAGTGGTGGCGCCCACACAGAACCTGCACAGCACAAGGGCGCCCACGCAAAACCTGCCCAGAACCCACACAGAACGAGGGCGCCTGCACAGGACCTACGCAGAACAGAGGCGCCCACACAGAGGCCAGGCGGGAGCGCAGTCGTTGTGTCAACTGGCCCTCCTCCGACGATAGGAACACTGCCAGGGCTGGCTGGCGAGCCTGGTGCCGCCGGCCCGGGCGTCCGCTCGGCCGACTCCAGGGCGATGTCCCCGGCGTCGTCGAACATCCTCGCCACGTGGCCGCCCGCGCGACGGAGCTCCCCAAGAGGCCCCGCCTCCGCAAGCCTGCCGCCCTCCAGGCAGACCACGACGTCCACGTCGGAGATCGTGGAGAGGCGGTGGGCGATGATCAAGGCCGTCGAGCCGCAGAAGCCGGCTCGGATGGTCCTCCATCGGCGTGGACGTAAACTTGCGGAGCTCCGCGCGGATTTCTCGGATCGGCGCTGGGCACCCCGCGCCAGGGGCGGCGACCGAGGTGCCGCTGGGGGACCAGACGCAGACCAAGAAACTGGCGCGGAGTTACGAACCAATCTGTTTATGTTTTCCTCTTTCTCGACAGCCGCAGAAGCCGGCTCGTATAGTCCTCTGGATCAGCAGGTCCGTGGCCGCGTCAATGTTGGCCGTGGCCTCGTCGAGCAGCACCACCCGCGACCTCCGCAGCAGCGCCCTGGCAACACACAGCAGTTGCCGCTGGCCGACGGAGAAATTGGCGCCCTTGCTCTGAACCTCGGTCTTCTCCCCTCCCTCCCCCCTTCTTGCTCCCTCCCCCATTCCTCCCCTTTTCCTGCTCCCCTCTCTCCTCCCCCTCTCCTCTCTTCTCCCCGTCCCCAATCGAGGCGTGTGGTCGCGGACGCATCACTCCAAGCGAAAACCTGTTCCCTGCTCCTCCTCCTCCTCCTCCTCCTCCTCCTCCTCCTCCTCCTGCTCCTCCTGCTTCTCCTGCTCCTCCTGTTCCTCCTCCTACTCCTCCTCCTCCTGCTCCTCCTCCTCCTCCTCCTCCTCCTGCCAGTCGTGCTAGTCCTCCTCCTCGTCCTCCTCCTCCTCCTCCTCCTCCTCCTCTTCCTCCTGGTCCTCTTCCTCCTCGATCTTCGTCAGTCCTCATCGGTTATCAGATTCCTCCTCCTTCTCCTCCTCCTCCTATTCCTCCTCCTCTTCCTCTTCCTCCTCCTCTCCTCCTTTTCCTCCTCCTCCTCCTCCTCCTCCTCCTCCTCCTCCTCCTCCTCCTCCCCCTCCTCATCTCGTTCCCGACGCGTTAAAGCCCCCATCAGAAGGCGAGAACTTCAAGACGACGCTCGCCAATCCACGCGCACAAGGTGCGCGTGGGATGTCAAATTTAAGGATGCCTCATACAGCGGGAAATCCCCGATACAGCCGAGAAGGGCTTCGCTCCCATGTTTCACAAGGGGCCTCCAGGCATTCACGAAAGACGCAATCTGCCGAGAACCACTGGCCACACACACACACACACGAACACGAACACGAACACGAACACGAACACGCACACGCACACGCACACGCACACGCACACGCACACGCACACGCACACGCACACGCACACGCACACGCACACGCACACGCACAACGCAC